GGGGGGGGGGGGGCGGCAGGGCGGGGGCCACCTGAGAATGTTGGGACAGTTTTACTGGAAGCAGCTGCTGTGTCTTGTCACAGCCCCTCAGGGACTCAGGAAGGGGAGGGGACGTAGAGGGCCCTGTTGAGACGTGGCTCCCACCGGGGCCTTCTGTGCGCCCAGCCCGAGCCCGAGCAGAGAGCTTCAGTGCAGGCCCAGGACAGTCGCTCACTGCCACCCCACCCGGCCTGGCCGCGCACCCTGCTGGCCCCTGGCGGTGGGACTCGAGGGTCTCCCTGGGAGGAGGAAGCCCCGGGGGCTGGCGGAGTGACATTCACAACCCAGGGCGAGTGCCTGGACAGAGCCCCGGACGACACGCTCCAGCGGTTTCGGGCTGCGGGCCGCCTGCCCGGCCCTGGTGTGGCCCTAGGAGGGGCTCAGGGAGCCACGGTCACTCTGAGGATCCCTCCCCCGGGGCGCAGGCGGCTGCCTCCCCTTGGGCCCTACCACGTCTCCCCCCCCCCCCCCCCCCCCCCGCCCCCGGGGCTGTCGGTGCCCACAACCCACACCCAAGTGGGGGCCAGTTCCCAAAGGTCACAGCCCCGGCCATCCACCCTCTGAGAACCCTCTCGGCCCACACTGTCTCTCCCTGAGGCCAGCTCCTCCTGTGGACTTGGGTCCTGAGGCCAGGGCGCCGCCTCTGCACACCCCCACCCCCAACTCTGCGTCCAAGCCCCTCACCTGCCGGACTCTCCCTGAGCCTCTGGGCTGCTTCGGGGAGCCCGGGGTCTGTAAGCAGAAGTTCTTGGAAGGGCACATTCCGTCGGGGTGTTTCTTGGGGAGGGGCTTCTCCAAGAAGCCCCCTCCCCCAGACCCCCGTGGGCAAGGCCCTGGCCAAGCTCGCCAAGCAGGGCTTGGTGGCAGAGTGGGCACAGTGCTGTGCGGACAGGCTGGAGACAGGAGCAAGGTGGCAGCTGGCCTGACCGGCAGGAGGATGCGGCCCCATTGCCTGTTGTCCCTGTCCGTGCAGGTGGTGGTCAGGAACCCAAGTTTCAGGGCCCGGGGACTTTAGTGTGAAGATGGGGTCCGGAGCCTGGTCAGGAAGACAGCTAGAGGGAAACGCCTCATCACGCGGTCTCTGTCTCCTGCCTCCTCCTTGGCCCGAGCTAACTCTCTGTCCAGAGTCCCTGCCTGCCAGCCTCCCCTCGGGCTGGTGTCCAGCGAGGCTCAGGGCACCTCCTCCAGGGAGGCAGCCTTGCACAGCTGTCCCTGGCGGGAGGGAGGGGCGTGTCAGCCTGGGCCCCGTGGGGCTCCTGATGCCAGACAAGCCTGGGCTCAGGGCGAAGGCACATTCCTGCTTTCTGAGCATATGGGGAGGGGGTTCCCAGAATCATCGAGAAGGCCTGGCCAGTGGCCCACGGGAGAGCCCGGCTCATCCTGCTGCCGAGGGGAGGGTTGGCCGCCAAAGCCCCGGAGCCCGCCCTCTGCCCAAGACCCGGAAGGCCTGCCCTCCCAGGCGTCCTGACAGGACAAGGCCCAGCCGCTCGTGTCCCGCGCCCCTGGCGCAGCCAGGGTCCTGTCACTGCACTCTCTGGTGCTACGGCGCCCGCCTGTGCTTCTGTCCACCGTGCCCACCGGCCACCTGGCCGTCCTTGGCCCCGGCAGGGCCCCGCTCCGGGTCGTCCCTGTCCAAGTGAAGACACGTCGGCTCGGGAGCCCTGGGGTATTCCAGGGCAGGGCAGGGCGGGTGTGGCCGAGATGGCTGTGGGACCTCAGGCAAGTCACGTCGCCTGTGGGGTACGGTACTGCCCCGGCCCGCCCGCCTCACCGAGGGGGGGCGCAGTGAGATCACGCAGCTGGCAGGCCAGCCGGCACCTGGCGAGTAGGGCGCACCCCCAGAGGGAAGCAGCCGCGCGGTGGGCACGTCAGGGCGGGCACAGATCCGGCCCATGCCTGCCCGGCCCAGGTGGCC